TCCTAACTCAATATTGCCAATTGACCCAATTTTCAAACTTACTTTCTGAAACTGAGCTAACGGCTATCATGCGACCGCGTGCCAACGTTTTTCACTAATTGGCCTGATGATGGTCGAAACATTGGAACCTTTTAGATATATTCAGGTAGCAACCAGATCATACCCTGCTTGAAGTCATTTGGTTCCATCTCTAATCTCTCGCAATTCCATTTTTCCAGACTATCGCACCTGATGTTGTGTTTTTCCAGATAGTCGCGACAGACACTTACAGTCGCTACTTAGCTCCAAACTACCGACAGCTACTTTTACCAAAACGATCTCTTTCGGTATTGTTTTAGGGCAACAACTTGGCCAGCTATTATTTGTTTAATTATCACGCTGCATTGTATGATATTTAAGATTCGTCTCAACTATTTAATTTTATCAAAAGATGATAAACAAAAGAGACTTTTTAGTTGATTCGTTACACCCTAGCTCACAATTTTTATATTTGAACAAAATTACGGCAGTATTGAGTTATTTCAACAATGTTCCAAGACGTTGCGAGAGAATATTTTTTGCGGTTTTATAGTTGGACATTTGTTTGAAGAGGTTCTTCAAAGTTTTTAATTCCAGATAAGTCTCGTGTCGTGCTTTTTGACCAGTTTAACCAAAATATCAAAGCATAACTGGGATTAAGGGTTGGAGTTGCTGAGATTAGATCTGAGGTTTCATTTAAAAAAAGAGACATTGATTGATAAAGATTATATGGAGAAATGGAAGAATTGTGAGGAGATGGAGGTTTTTTAGGTTACAAAAACCGTCAAATCAATGAAAGCCTCCTTTTGCCAATAAAAAAGTTGCACCGCTGAAAAAATGTTAAAAAAGGCCAAAAACGTTGTTCAATTTTCCCCAAAACATTCGATAGGCGTTCTCAAAATTTTTGATATGCAGCAACCTTGGCGAAAGACAGGTTCACTAGTAAAAGATGCTGCTCGCAGTGGAACTTTTTCGCCGCATTAAAAAACACTATTTTTCTGTCACTACTTTTTTAAAACCAAAATTTCGGTCGGTATTACCCGAGTTCAAATTAATATTTCGTCAATACAAGTTTCCACTAATTTGCAATGGCAAGCATAAATTACTAATACTAAATTACATCTCTGGTTGCAATAGGACTGTATTTCGATTTTTTTGTTTCAAAACTCGGAGAAAGTGACTTAATGTTTTAGCTTGAGTGATCAGATGGTATCATATTGTAGGTATATTTGTCGTGATTGAGCTCCCATACCCTTCATTTCTTCATTTTTGTACCCTACACTCCTGTATTTTCCTAAAATAACACAGTAACTGTTTACTAAATAAAATAAAAAGGGAGTTTTGAGACTAAATGTGGTTGAAAGAGAAGATTTGGAAATCTTGCTAGACGTGTTTAGGACGGAGACTTGAGCTCTGATGAAGCTTCGAATGACTATAATTGTCAAATGACTTGCGCACTTTATTGTATCTTATATTGCCCCGTTGACAGTTTGAAGCTGCTTTGTGCTATCATCCAACCAAGTTTGGCTTCCTAACTAACTACTCGTCAATTTGGCAGATCTGGTAAAAAATGTGGGCTATAAATTTTGTGGTAGTTATGCAACAGCGGCGATGTATTTCTGCTCAAAAATCATAAAAATAGAATTTAGCCATGCTATTTGGTCTTATTGACACGCTAATTGACAGACATTGAATGCATCACTTTGTACTGAAAATTTCTAAAAATTTCTGTTTTTGGAAAACTTTAAATTGGAAAATGTACACAAGACTGTTTATATCAGAGCGACGCCCTGAATATTCCGACTGCCTCTTAAGCTCCACAGAGTTCGCTTTGAAAAAAAAAACAAATTTGATTTTTTTGAGACTTTTTTACTGAAAACCATCCCCCGTAAAATATTTTAAGTACATAGTGATTAATTCGCATAGAGCAAAGCATTAAATATACCAAATAGGATTCAACAATTCTTTTGAACGATTTCTAATACGGATTAAGTGTCCGCTTACGCGTAAATACCGCACGAAATATATCGCGCGTTAAATGTCCCAAGATGCCCACATAGGCAATCTTTACTCTCCAATAACCCCGGGTTGACCTCCATACACCAAAAATGCTTGTCATTCAATTCTATACAGCAAAAAAAATCTTTATCATACAAATATATACATCAAGTGTATGGAGAAAATGCTTGTCATACAATTTTCATACATTTTCAAAAAATATTAGAAAAAAATCAAACCATTTCTGCGGCTTACAATTTACCTCACAACTGGCATTCTGAAATTATCTTAAAAAATTTTTTTCAACTGCAAATTGAATTTTCTACGCAAACAAACATTTTCCAAAAATTTTTTTTGCGTGCAAAAATTAATTTTTTGTGTGCATAACGTAGTCCTGGGTTAATATTGGTTTTTTTTTCTTTTCACTTAATATTTTCAAAAGCGGTGAAAGTTTTTATTTTTTTTGTATGGCGTGTTTATGTATGCAAAATTGCATGGCGTGTTTATGAAAATTTAAAATAAGCATCATTGAAAAAGTTTGCCAAAAATTAAAAGTTTGTTAATTTTTCCTATCATCATGTGAAAGACAGCTGGAAGACAATTCAGGTTGTTTTTTATGCATTGTAAAAGTAAGGCCGTCCGTTTTCTAGTGCTTGGAGTAACCAAGGTCCTTGTCACTTGTATTCGGTTGCAAACACAACCCAAGAGTGTTCAGAGAATAAATTCAGAAACAAAAAACATCTTTTTGGTTTATGAAGAAAACAACTATCATACAATTTCCATTTATGGGAAAATGTTTATTGTAGAGATTTCGTACAATTTTCTGTACGTATGGAATTGTACTGAATCGTATGAAAAAAATTTTGCAATGAACAGGATTGTATGATAAGCATTGGTCAACCCGGGATTTCAGAAAAATGGATCTAAGCTGAAAAGTCGTATTAAATTTTAGCTCAAGGCAAGAATTATTTTGAAATCAAATTTTATCTAGAGATAACCGAGCGAGCACAAGTATTTCGTCACTTTCTTCAAAAATTGGAATAAGTTTTCTTTACCGTTATACTCACTGAGTGAGAGTTATAACTTTTTTTTTCGACTAAACCTAACAACAACCAATTGAAAGGTTTTCAAAAAATTGTCAAAACATGGAACAGTACATGTCAGTATTTTTCAGGAAAAGCACAGATTTCATGCAAAGATGTCTATTGGATTTTTTTAAAATCCAACAGGTGTTTTGATCCAATAGTTTAAATTGTGGCTGCATTTGTTGAAAAACGAAAGAAATGGTTTTTGCTCTGGCTTTCGAAGAAAGTTAAGGAATGTTTCGGCTAGGGGTGTTTTCTTCTTCATTAACTAGCAATTTTTGGCGAACTTTTTGCATATCATATGAAAAGTACTGTTGTCTTGAGTTCAATTTTTAATTCCGGCTTAACGCCTCTGGTTTTTTGTTTTGCTATTTTTGGTTTTGGGTTAGCGCGTAAGCGGATATGCATTTCGTCTTAAACTCGTTCCAAATAAATTAGGGATTGTTAAAAAGTTTAATTAATACATTACTTTAAGCTAATTAAACCATTTTGCACTTAATCGCAAATGAGGATGATTTTCAATAAAAATGGCAATAAAAAATTGATATTTTTTAAGTTCATTTTTTTTTGAAATTGAATCAATTATTTTAAAGGAAAAACTGTTCCAGTGAATTTAGAAAGCAGCCAGAACCGTCAGGTTTTCAATCTGATACGAACAGTCTAGTTGTTCCGACTTTCGATACGAAAGTAACGGAATATTTGTGCTCGGGGTGGGTTTTTTTTTCTTCAGACAAATTTCGACTTTTTAACTAGGCGTTTTTGACGGAAATTTTTTAACATCATTCGAAAGGTATTGTTGTCCTGAGCTCAAATTTGAAAAGACATTTCACCTGTGATCATTTTTCGTAAAGTTACGGGGGTTTAGAGATTGCCATTTTGGCCAATTTGGGACAATTAACGGGCGATATATTTCGCGCTATTGACGCGTAAGCGGAGAGTTAATCCGTCTTAGAAATCGTTCCAAATTGGTTAAAAGAAGCTTATGTGCCATAATTGGCTTGTTACAAGGAGCGAAATCTATCCTTTTGTTCTTTGTATGGCGTGTGGGGGGATGATTTTCATAAAAAATTTCAAATTTTAGAATTTTTTTTTTTCGATTTTGTTTTATTTCCTTGAGTTTTTAAATGTTATTACTGCTCCATAAACCTTAAAAGGCAGTTGGAACATTCAGGGCTTCGCCCTGATACGAGCAGTCTTGTTGTCTTTTATAATCTCTTCTCACTGTGTAATTTTGGATTACTGGACACCTTCCATCGTCACTTACGCCAAGTTTAATAAAATGGTTATACCCAATGTTTTATAACTTTTGTAAGTATCTTGAAGTGGTAATAAAGAGCCATCGGTGGATACTCACGAGTACTAAAATGATAAATCAGTCCCACTTGTACCAAAATAAAAAATCAATCGCGTTAGTAACAAAAATATTCAACTGGCCAAGACTACTAAGCCGACAATTTTAAGTTTTGGGGCGATAACCGGCTCTAAATTTCGTATAGATCCTACTCACTGTTGACAAGCTCGCAACGCGTTGGCGCGACTGCGGCGTTCACTATTCTGCTGCTTAGTTTTCTTCTGTTTAAACAGTAGAAAATTAATGTAATAATTCGTTGGCTCACAATTCGACCAATCAGAAAACGAGTTGAGAATAATTTTGGTACAAATGGGACCAATGTTTCATTTGGTACAAATGAACGTTAGTACAAGTGAGACTTCACCGAGCCATTACTTTTCATGGTTGAATTCATTTTCGTGTTTTAATCAATAAAATTTCACTTGAGATTATGCACTCGAGATTCACTATCAAATTATGCTGTTCGAGACAAAAATCAACTATAACTTCATGCTTGTTTTTTTTTGTATTTCAGTGCCTTTATCCATACTTGTTTTATAATTTTTCAGCTCCGAGCCCTCTGGGTAGTAGAATAAAACGAAAAAAACAAGTGAAGACTCAGCTTCGAGCTGTGCCTAAAGCGCAAACGGAAATTTTGAACAAAATCAGAGAGAAGTTTGACATTCGACAAGGACCTGATCCTGAAATTGAGCGTGGTAACCTTTTGAGGATTACACCAGAGGGAGATTTTGCACTTTTGCAGCCCTTCAACCCCCTGCAACACGACTACTCGCCGCAAATTGGACCTTACACGGTAACTTCATTTTTCTGATTCCTGTTGGAAAATGGCGGCATATTCATGGTTTTTCTTTAGACATTTCACACCAAGTCTTCTTCGCCTTATGTGCATTCGAAGAACTCTGGCGATCAATCCACAGAATAAGCATATTGGAAAACTAAGTTTTGTTAGCAACAAGAAAATCTTTTAAACAACGAATACTCACCTTATAAAAGACCAATTGAACTTGAAAACGAATGCCAACTTGAACCGTGGCAACGCTTCTTTGCAAAAGGGAAAAACCGTTAAAAAATCCAATTTTTGTGTTTCAAAGGTGTGTACTTGGATGCCGTTTCTGAAAGAGCAAAACGTTAAGCATTTGGAGCCCTGCAAATACCTTCCTATTTATGGTGTGAATGATGCATGTGCTGTTCTTCCACTCTCCCCTAGTCAGAAACCAACAGAAGCCAAACTGTTGCAGTTCTTGCCATCTGGGTTCTTCTCCCCTTTCCCAAACCCATTGGACGAGGATTCTGTGCGGTACCAAATCACCTCTTTAAATCTAGTCAGTCATCGACTGTTCCTTAGTGTTGCTACCTTAAAAAAGGATTGAATAAGTGGATTGTTTGAAAACAAAATGAGGCCATGAAAATTCATTTTTTTGGTTATTGAATCCTATTTTTTGGTGTACATGAAAGAAAATCGACAAAAATTTCAATTTTTAGCGGTTGACTTTTGATTTCATTTTAAGTTCACTTCATTTCCAAACTCCACAAACAGCAAAAACGTAATGCTCACAAAAAACGTGATCGACGTTAAATTTCGAAAAAGAATTTCAATCTTCAAATCCTGAGCCAAATAAAAAATTTATCCATTGCTTCAGTTTTCTCAAAATGTGTTATTTTATCAAAAAAAGCACCAACCTTAAATTGCTTGTGAAAGTCAAAGAGTTTTACAGAAGTATATAGTGTTAAATTTCAGAAATTGTTTTTTTTTTAAAAAACAAATTAGTTTTGTTTTCTGTTTCCTTACTATTTCTGCCTCGTTTCGTTTCTGAGGTAGATTCGTTTCGGGTAGCAGGCTGATTGAAAATTTTTCATTTCATATGTAACTCAACCGTAATTATTGGAAATCACAAATCAACAGAGAATAACGAACTGACACAAGTTTAGGTTTTTAAAAGCAGAAATCAATGTCATAAAATGCGCAAGATGAAAGCATTGGTAAAAGAAAATTAGAACAGCGCCTCAAAAACTAGTGAAACTTGTTTCGGTTTTTCTATTTGGGACTTTTCTCACTCCGTGTTTTTTCATCATCAGAAAATTCATTAGTTACGACCTTGATTTTTCTCGCTAAAACTCCAACGAGAACTCTCGCATTTTTTTGGTTTTTCAACTGTCAGTTGGTTATTTTTTTAATTATATAAATCTAATTTCGGATGTTTTTTGGATTTTTGAAAAATTTGTTGTTTTTCGGTTCGTTTTCTTGAGGATAATTGGAGCTGAATACGCTTGAGTAAAGCTGAATACATAGGAAAAAGCTTTGTGTTATTGAGCTATTTTTCTTCCGATCACTCAAACTGGGGAGAAATTTTGTTTTCAGATGTGTTTTAGTTTTTTTATAAAACCACGCAAGTTCAGGTACCTCAAATAATCATTGAAACGGGTCGAATGATACGTCACATTGAAGGCAGCCTTCTTAGTTAAGATTTGAACAAAAAAAGAAAAATCGAGCTGAAGTTTTATTACTTTTAGTCCAATTTCGAGCAAAACGTACATTTATGAAACTAGTTATTTAGTCTCAAGATTCGCTTAGCGTTTGTTTGGCAATAAAAGATTTCTAACAAAATTCCCAGATCTTGGACAATTCATAACTCTTTGCAATGCTAAACTATTTCTTTATGTCTAGTCAGTCATCAACTGCTCTTTTTCTTGTTTTTTGTTATTCAGTACATGAAAGTGGCGAGAAAAGGAACTCTTTGTCTTTGGATGCGTTTTAGATGCTCTATTGAGTTAGTTTTATTCCTTAAAACCAGGCTATACAATCAATCATCAGGTTAGAACATCTTTCAATCCTAATTTGAGCGACAACTTTTTGGTTTTTTGTACTAAATTCGAGCGAGCAAGCATCCTTTAATTAGGGCATTAAGCTTTTATCTAGAACTTTAAAACCTAATTTTGCTCCAGTAAAAACATTTTTTGAATGATTGCTTAGCTCCTGCTTGGGAAGGAGTTTTTTTAAAAGTTGGTAACGTAATGAGTATTATACGATAAAGCTTGGTGATTTTTGTTGTGTTCTGCTCCCGCGAAGCAAAATCGTTATTTAAAAATTGAAATTTTATGTGGCCCCATTCCAAATTTTGTTTTCTTTTTTGTCTGTTTTAGGTTTTTTAAAAACATTCCACGCAAGTTCAGGCACCTAAAATAATCTTTGGAACGGATCAAATGATAAATAATTTCCAAAAAAACTTGGAAGCATCATTTAGCGTTTTTGTGGCAATTACAATTTTCTAATACAATTTAAAAAACTTATGGTTTTTTTAGAATGGTTCATTTTTGTTATTCGTATACATTTTTGAAGAACACTGATGTCAACTATGTTTAATTTTTTAAGCTTCTTTTCTTTGTTATTGATCTTTCTCTCATCATACCATGCACAAAAAAGGACTTTACTTTGAAAAAAACTTTTTGTAGTTTTTTATGTCGGAACATTCTGTGCTACTTGCAGAGCAATCGACTAACCTTATTAATTTTCTAGCGTTGTTTCATTTCGACGTTTTTTGTTTTTTGAAGTTTTGTTGAGCTGTCCTTTTTTTTCTATTTTTTTGCACCGTAACCACAAGATAGCGAGCAAGATTTACTTTGTTTTAGAGAGATAGGTAGAGTTGAAGTGGATGATGGGGAACCTTATTGGTATGCATATCAGTTGAGTTGTGGCATTTACTACTCCTCGAATTTTCGTGTATGGCTCTTTGAAGATGCCATGCTTCTAAGCAGAATTCCAATCCACAGGAGCCAAGTATGGCCATTTCAGGTCATACAAATAACCAGTGGACGTGCTAATCAACAAAATCAGTACGGTTTCAATTGGCTCCTGAAGGAATATCGCAGCGGACCAGTAAGTGTGAATGAATCTTGGGTTTTGCAACCGGATTGAATTAATTTAATTATTCAGTTTGAATCTCAAGCTAGCTTTTTTCTTTTTATGAGATTCCGTACCCAGCGAAAGCTGTTTTTCTAGATAGAAATGTTATATAGATTAATTAGCCATTTTTTGTTTTTTCTGTTCAGAAAAGATCTATTTCTTTCTTAGTTTAGAACTAAACATTTTCTGGAAAGAAATAACCAGAAATCAGTTCACTGCTCAACCGAAACGAGATAAACATGCTTCGAGTATACAAATTAGCCGTAGCAAATTAGCCGTAGCAATGCAAATAAACACTTGTTATAACTTGGTGTTCCGACTGCCTTTTAAGGTCTATGGAGCATTAATATTATGAAAAAACTAAATGTAATAAAATAAAATGAATTTATTTTTTGATTTGAGATCGTTTGTAAAAAATAATCCCCCACACGCCATTTAAAGTACAAAGTGATAAATTTCGCTCCTAGTAACAAATCAATTATGGCAAACAAGCTTACTTCAACCAATTTGAAATGATTTCTAAGACGGATTAAATCTCCTTTTAAGCGTTAATAGCGCGAAATACATCGCGCGTTAGTTGTCCCAAATTGGCTAAAATGACAATTTTTTTAATTCCAATAACTTTAGGAAAAACAATTACAGGTAGATTATCAAATTTAAACTCAGGACAACAATACCTTTTGAATTCCGTCAAAAAAAATTCCGTGAAAAATGACCTGTAAAAAGTTGGAATTTGTCTGAAAAAAACTCACCCCGAGCACAAATGTTCCGTTACTTTCCTAACGAAAGTCGAAATAATTAGTTAATAGTTTTCCAACATCATGGTAATTTTACTGATGTTTGAGCTCAAAATATGTCGAGCAAAAAACCAAAAAAATTGATCCGAAATGCTTAATCCATCATTTTGTATTTTAAAAAGCGCGTGAGGGATAATATAATATATATTATTTTAAAAATATTTTCAATGTTTTTTTTTCGACCGGGTACGAGCCGTCTTGCTGCTGTTGTATTCAAAAAATAGATAAATTGAATTCGTTCATCTGTTATGTCGAAATGATGGCGAGATCAGCGTGTTTTCAAGCAGTGTTTAATCAAACTAGTGTTTCTTCGAGGACAGCAGTGTTTTGTCGGCTCTTTTACAGTTTCTTTCCTTTTATTTTTTCTGAAGTCCAATTTATGGAAGCCTTTCTAGAATGATTTTTCATGTTAAAAACTCCCTTAAGACGTGTCAGTGTGAACAGGTGGAAAAATCCTACAACTTTTGGTACATGCGAATTGTCGTTTGGTTTTTTTTCGGAACAATTTTGTGTGACGATATTTTCTGAAAAGGTGGGAAGCTAGAAAAGAGCTGTTTGTCAACAAATTTGACTTCCAGAGCTCATTTGAGGTTATTAAATCTCAAAAAAGTCAGGCAATGTGTGTTTTTCCAAATTCAAACCTCTATAAACTGCAATGAAAACTCTTTCTTTAGAATTTTCCCCAATATTTTTTAAATCGCAAATTCACCTCACAGTTTTTCGTTGGAAAAATTTTAATCTTAAAATCTTCAATTCTGATTCAGACTAACCAGCGAAATAAATAATGCTGAAACTTTAAACGCATTTTTCAGAAATTGGGTTAACGTTAGACAAAAAATAATAAAAAATAAAAAACAATAATAAATTTAGAAAAAATGTTGACATTGAAAGTTTTTTAAACCCTTTTAATAGAAGTCAAACTATTCGTGTAAAATTTTTTGTAAAAAGTCATTGGTGGCTCGTTTTAGTCAATATAAAATGCGCCAAAAAATTGTGATCAACTGATTGGCTAATTAAATTATAGTATAATCTATAACAGTTTGCTCAATCTGTTCAAAAATGCTGAAACTAAATTTTAATTGAGGTGAACTCGACATTCTGTGACTATCAAAGAAAACTGTATTAATTCAAATATAAATGGAGAAACTCTTCCTCTCGTAGAGTTAGTTGGGCTACATAAGAGACTCACTTGGATGTATTTTGCTTATCAGTTGACCTTACTCTTACCGCAGTTTCTGATGGTCTTAAAAATCGTAAAATTAAATTTTAAGGATAATAACAGAGTTCGAATTTTGTAAATTGAATTAAATTGTTTTAATTCTAATAAAATCTTAAATAACATTCATTCCCACTCATCTTTTTTGTCTTATTTATGTCTTACAGGGGCGGATCTAGGATTTTCTCGAGGGGGGGGGGGGGGGGGGTGGATTTTCAAAAAATTTTCCAAAATTTTGACGACCTTTTTTTTAGGTCGACCAAATTGATTTTTTGAGCTCTCCCAAAGCACTGTTTTGCCCCTATTTTAGCTAAATTTTCTGCGCCACAGGCAAATTTTTGAAAAAACAGTCAAAAAAGCCGTTTTTGGGCACTTTTTGAAAAATGTTGACAAAAAAATCGCGTTTTTTGGCGCGCGCTCCTCAAAGTTAGTATATATTGGCGCCAAAGGCGCCTTTAGAAAAATTTTAGGGTCGGTCGGCCAAAAATGGATTTCTGAAAAAGTATCAAAAAGTATCCAAGTACCTTTGGGTCGGCAGGGGGTCGAATCCCTGAGGGGGGGGGGGGGGGAACATCCGCCCCCTCCTAAATCCGCCCCTGATGTCTTATGAGCTTTAATACAACTTTGATAAGATTTTATCAGTTCATGTTTTCCTTAAACCCGCTGTACTTTATGTTTTTTTTCTGAAAAAAGTAGGAGCTATAATTTTTCGGGGGTGGGGCACACTGGGAAAGTTAAATTTTAACTTTTGGGCTTTATATAAACTTTTGAAAGTGAGTGAATTTCGTCTACACTGGAAAAGTTGAATAATTATTCTCTCTATATAATAATGTTGATAATAATAGTCATAATCATAAAAATCATAATACGAATATTAATCGTACCAAAAAATTGCAGATATCTGCTTCAGTTCAAGAACATTTTTGAAGGCGGGCCTGATGAAGCAATGATGAATCGACTAAACGAAAACCCAATCAAGTTCAGGGAGAAGTTTATCGGAAAAGTGGAGATACAAGGCTGGGTATACTTGAATTGGCGCGCCCTTCAAGGTGCTCTAGGGGGAATCAAGCTAGACCCACAGGTCCTTATAGGTACGGTGCAAGTATAATAGATGAGTTACCGCTTAAAAATCAGTTTTCCGAAACACAATACAATCATTTAAACTGCTTTGTTAGAAGTTATTTCATTTTCAAAATTTTAGATATTGGAAATATGACGATTTGATTCGTTTTATGCTTTTCTTGTCGAGGTGTTTTTTTGAGAAAATTATCATTAAAAATTGCGTTAAGCTCATTAGAATGCTAGGGTGAGCGCGACCGCCCTTCATCTCTCCCCCGAAGAACTGTATTACAAGGGCAAACTGTGCACTGGATAGGAGCACAATGTGGTATGTGTAATTCTTTGGAATCCATAGACAAGTCTACTTTAAACATGCTAAAACTTTGACGACTTGATCAAAGGACACACAAGAACAGAGCCGTTTTTTGCTGAATCCGCTTAAACTTCACAAATTACCCGACTTTGGCCTCGTAATAGAGTTGCCACATTTTTCATATAAAAACCCCCTCCCTTAAGAAACTGTTTTAAGACAGCCATTTCTTGATGGCCAGCCAAAAAAAAAACATTTCTATAGACGCATTTTGAGCTAATATATATCAATTTTAGGAGGCAGTGAGACAAACAATTTTTTTGATATAGAACCTATGGAAAATCTATGTAAAGAGTCTATGGAATCTACGTCTCCTTTCACTTTAACGACCATATCTCGGGAGGATCTGGGTTTTTCTTCAGTTGTGATTTTTTTTATTGTGAATGTCGACCAATGCATTTTTGAACAGTTTTTTTGGAAGGTGTTGTCTAAAAACAGCATTTTTTTCTGGTGAGACCTCCCATCATAATTTGAAAATATTGGCGACGGAAGCGCATTTTGAAAACGCTATGGCGACAGTTTTTCACATTTCCTGATAAGTCAATCAAAAGCAGAAAACGCTAAGTCAGTCGTGAAATAGCACCGAAATGATTATTTGCATAGTGAAGGTTTGGAATCCAATTTCTCTGATTTAAGGGTAAGGGTGTGTGTGGGGGGAGGGGGGCGGGGCTATTGGTGACTATAGGGGACTATATATTTTTGATCTTTTAACCGGCTTCTATGGTCATAAAATACTACTACTTGGCTAACAAGGCCACTTTCTGCTTCAATCGATCAATCTATCATACTTGTTTCTAAGCCCACGCGATTGGATGGATCGCTTATTATATCAACGAGCTGCTGAAAATGTCACCCGAATTGAGGTATTGCACCGACAACGTTGCTAAAATGAACACTCAAGATGCGATTCATTTGATCAGTTTTTTCTTCTATGGGCTCGGCTGTATCGGCGCCGAATATTGGTACCCTTACTACGGAAGACAAATGTCAATGCTCGTTTATAACAGTTTTCTCGAGGAGCAAAACAAACGACGTCAACAAGAACAGCTGCAGCAATAAAAAAACAGCAGCAGCGAAAAAACAACAGAAGCACGCAGCAGCATTAACAACAAGACAATTTCCCGCATCCAAGTTAAGGCCCAAATAAATGATTGTAACGAAAAAATTTCAGACAATTATCAGTGGTTACAAGGATAGCCGGTTACTGTGCAAGTAGCACAGAATGTTCCCACCATCGTCTTAAAAAATACAACAAAACTTTTTTTAAACTTGGGATCATTTTCGGGAAACTTGGGATCATTCGCAGTTTTTTGATTTTTTGACGTTTTTGATTCCAAAACAGCGCTATAATAATGAAAAAATCTAATTTTCCTCGAGTAATCCTATTTTGTAAATTCAGCTATTATAAGCTTTTGAGCCATTAAAATAAGCTATTGCAAGTTTATTTATTCGCTCCAAATAAAACGAAAAATAAAAAAAGTATATCAAACCAGTTTTTCTCGACACTGGTAAAGTTTTTGAGAAATTTATAATGTGGTTTCAATAACGACTTCAACGAGTTTAACATGATGTATCACTCAGCCCAGTTCAATGTTTTTTGTGGTACCTGATTTTGCGTGGAAAAAAGTAAAACACACACCCAAATGCGAAACTACTTCCCATTTTCAATAGTCGGAACAATAATTATCACACTAGGAATAAAGTTTTTTTATATTCGTGACATTTTAAATATAACTATAATTAATTATAGTTCTTTGAAACATCTCCAAAAATCATTTATATCAAACGATATTTTCACATCAAAAACATGTTTCATTGTTCCGACTTTCCAAGAAAGTGACTATACATTTGTGCTCGGTGTGGTTTTTTTGACTTTGAACTAGCTATTTTTGACGGAGTTTTAAAAACATCATCTGCAAAATATTGTTGTCTTGAGCTCGAATTACAAAAGATATTTTACCTGTAATCATAGTTTGTAAAGTCATGGGGGTTTAAAAATTGCCAGTACGGCCAATTTGGGTCAATAAACGCGCGATATATTTCGCGCTTTAAATGAGATTTGATCAGTAAAGAAGAATTCCAAATGGTTTGAAGTAGGCTGTCTGTCGTTATTACTGCATCACTGGGAAAAAATTATCACTTTGTACCTTATATCGCGAGTGGGGGATGCGCTTTAAAAGATGCAACTTTTTTGAAAATGTCATCAAATTTTATAATAAGAACACTGCTTCATAGAAATTTAAAGGCAATCGGAACTTTCAGGGCTTTGCCTTGATGCGATGTCTTTTTTTAAATAATTTGAGGTTTGTATTACTCTTGTCGAAAACGAAATCTCTAAACACGAGAGATCTTGTCACATTTTGGCAAATAATTTACTGAGCAAAAAATTTACAGCCGAACAAAAATTTCATCGAAATCATTTCGTAATAAGAGACTGTTTTTCAAATTTACAGATAAGCCAGTCAAAAGCAAAAAAAGCCAGTCAAAAGCAACGTAGATGCAAGATCGAAAATGAAATGGGCGTTTAAAAGACATTTAATCGATTATAGTCGTCTGAAATGCAATGCATTTTCTTAAAAATTACAATGAGATAAAAATAAAGGATTATATTTGACTAAAGTTTTTTCGAAACGCAGAAAAAATTAAAATGTATCAAAAACAATCCCTTATAGTTTTTTTCTGCGTCTCGAAAAACATAAAATGTTAAATAGTTCTTCATAATTTGTTTCAAAAAGGAGAGCATAATCGATAATTACTTGATTAAATTAATATTTTTTCACTTTTAGAAAAACTGGTACTAATATCTTAATATAATCCATGATTAACTCTTAAATTTGGATGCGGCTGAACAACACACTTACAGAAAACACTGTTGACAACAAAGAACTAGAAAATAAATAACTAAGGAACGAGAAATTCTTCAAAAAGCGGAAGGTAGCTGGAAAGCAGCATACTTTACCACATTTTAAGTGGATTGCAGAACGTTAGCAAAAATTAAAGGGATTCACTACATCGAAAAACGTGTTAAGCCTGAAACAGTATTAAGATAGATTGGCTTTTTTTTAAAATCAAAATGAGACTTTTGAGAGCATTAAATAAACATTTTGATCAAATGCTCATTGCGGTGATGGTAAGTGCTGAAACTTGATTCGCCCTGTCCTTAATTGGTCAGTATTGGTAGTTGTCACAGCTCTCAACTCGATAAATCGACTTTTTTGCTAAGAGAAACAGCTCAATTTTATCCGTAATCTTACAAAACAGATGCAGTTCAATGAAAACTCATGGACAAAAGTGAAACAAAACGACAAATTCACAGTATTTCAATTTTTTTTTTGAAAACTATGATTTTGAACAGCTAATTTAGAAGTAGAAAATTTTCTTTTCGTTTGCACGACTACGTAAGCTCGCCCATGTGCTAATTGGCTTCCTTTGCCCAGTAAAACCTACCGTACCAAATAAACTAGCACGAGTGCTAGTTTAATTGTGGGTCGGGTGATATCGCTAACCGATGTTTTCAGCACAGCGGGATCAGCAACTCAGTCCTAGACAAAATTAAGGGCTGTGATTCGTGCCAGCAGATAATATACCGGGGTAAGTAGACATTAAGATCCAACTAATTAGACGGTCTGAAATTCAAGGAGCCAATCGGATCGCCTGTTGAGACACTGCTTAACCATGACAAACAAATATGATTTTAAATGCTTTTTCGGGCACAAAATGCTTCCTATTGTTGTACAAAATAAAAGAATCATCTTAAACAATTACTCCAACATGTTCTTGCGCTTGTTTTTTTTCCGGAGTTCGAAAAAAATTATTTGTGATTTAAAAAACCTAAACAGTTAAAAATACCCAGGGTCGAAGTGCTCGATTTAGTTTCGAATTTCTCGACCAATAATTGGTGTGTTTCGATCGTCTTGGCCAATTTTTCATATATTTCGACTTTTTCGATTAAGTTTTGGCATGTTTTGACTTTCTCGACCCAACAAAAAAGTGTTCGACTTTGTTCAACCCAGTTCAGATATGTTTCGACTTTCTCAACCGTCTCGACCGTCATTTTTTAAAAGTTTTTTTTTTGTAATTTTTTTTTATTTGACCTCGTATACCAAAAAAAAAATCAAAAATTTTCTTCGAAAGCCAGAACAGCAAGGTTGTTTTTATCAGGAGGAAGCCCTGAAAGTATCAGGAGGAAGCCCTGAAAGTATCGGGAGAAAGACCTCTTCGAGGAAACCCATCAGAGGGAAGCCCCTTAAAGACTCCCAACTAATTATTGCTTCGGAGAAATTTTGATTATTTTGAAAAAAATTATCAAAATAATTTTTCAAAGGGTCGAAGTTTGCAAATCATGTTTCAACCGTCTCGATCCAGGCTCGATGTGTTTCGAACGACTCAAGCCAGATTGCCTATGTTTCGACTATGTTCGACAGAGGAAGAACAATTCGACCAAGTTCGACTGAGGACAAACGTTTCGACTGAACTCGACCGAACAAAAAACAATTTGAATGTGTTCGACGGTTTTGTTGTTGCCTCAAAAAACTCATATATTTTAGGACCATGTGCAGGCCTTCTCGTTGCGGTCTTGTATATGACCAGCAAATTTGCTGCTCTAGCTAACTGCATCTTAAAAAATTTTGTATACTGGATTTTTTGCTAAATTTATTTCAA